GTATACCAAGTATTTTCAAAAATGCTTCGTGATAAAGCATCTAATTTCGGTATGGACCCAAAAAATTTATCAGCATTTCTTTATTTCAGAATATTAACAATCACCACTAAGGTTTACAGATGTAATGAAAAACATCTTATTAGTTTTCTGCAACGGATGCTCGAGTAACATCACGTCCTAATGTCATTTCAGAAATATCTTTCATGGAGTTAAATGTACACAATCAACAAACAATCTGACACTGCTTCGTTTATCACATTCATCATTTCATACACGAACTACCGATGAAAGCGACGGATGAAATTAAAAAGCATGACTACACTAAAACATGAAGCTTCTGTCGCTATCCACATCACATACCATCAGCTAGGTTGTGGGAACATTAAATTCACTGGAAATATTAGATCTTGTGACAATCTACATTGTGAATATCTGATTCATCTCCATTCACACCACATCACATTCACTATCTAGTTAAATACTTCCTTCAAAATTTACGTTACAGACCATCAGACACCTACAACAACTACATCATGATAACCAGTCGTTGGTGTGCAATCCACATCATCAATTAACTCAAGTGAATATCCTCGATCGGAGTATCAGTCAGTGCTGAACACAAGATAAATTGACTGGATGAATTTCATCTTCTATATATTGGTGATAAATGTATTTGTGAGAGAAAATTAACAAAGAAACGTACTCATTGACCAATTTGATACAAAAGTATATATCACAACATATTTGCAAATCAACATTATTTCATATATTTTTCTTGTAACGTGTGATATATTCCAATGTGATGATTGCATTCAGGACATTTGTGACCAACATCTTTACATGCTTTTACATAAAATGGAATGAGACAACAGACATAGAAGCACCTTAAATACACAAAAATAATATTCGAAATGAGCATAAGTTCGCACCATATATTTCGCTCATCATACACGTTTTCTAAGTTTAACTATAATTTCATTCACTCACTTAAGTAAACTCACTGTGAAACCTGAAGATTGTGGGTCCATATTTTGAAAGTATTGTCATTGCGTGCTTCTGAGGAGCATTACACCTAAACGAGACTGTTATTTTAATTCTGCTTAGTTCTCAATGATGCCTAAATCAAAGTCAGTTCCTGACGAGTATCACGGACACATAATTTGGCATTCTGAAAGAATTTAATCGTCAGGTTAGACTGGAATCCAAATGAACTAGATGTTAAGCAAAACGACGAATTAAAAATTTTACTTCTGAGTTACAAATAATCGGAGAGAATGTCACAAATAATCTTGTTCAATTGTTGGTCGTGCTTTTGTTGTATATCATTTGTTCCTCTAAAAAACTTTTGCTTTGATGAGATGTATGCAGTCGAATTAGAAGTTCAATCAACTCTCTAAATACAATCGGCTCCGTAATTTAGCGAGCCAAGATCTGATTCTTATTTAGACGAACGATTAAATATGCTGTGAACTTAAATCTTCCGTTTATTTCCGTACACTGTTGTTGGGCTAACTCCATTTGGACGACGACGATGAAACGAAGCCAACTAAGGACTGAATAGGATAAATTTATTTCAGATATTCGTTAACGCAGTCAGACATTCAAAATAATAAGTGAGGAAATGAAGGAAAGTGAAGAAGGCAAGATTGCCAACTCATTTTAATGAAGTATCTGTAGCGTGGCGTCGAGTCGCAGTTGACTATGATCACCACTACAGAAAGACTACGTGCCAGTTAACCGATAAAATCCTCCGTAAGCCAAATATCAGGAGGCAGTTGATGGCTGTATTCGTTCGAGATCTCATGGTATCAAAAAAATACCGAGATCGTGCCAAAGGAGTACAAGTTTGGTTACTGAGCCTAACCGAATTCGTGCAAGGTCACAATTAAAGGAAGGAAGAATGTCTTTAGTACAGATAAACAAGCAAGTACAGTAAAACAATCACTGGTACAATTGGTTATAATAATGATTGTTTCCATCAAACCAATCGCGTTCTCTTGATAAAAGTAGGTCACTACACATCACTCACGAATCATAGCCATACAAAAATAAGCTAAAGACAAGCGATGAATAGGGTAAATGGTATACACACACGCTCAAAATAGGTAATGCGCGGTGTGAAAAAGTTAGGGACTAGATAAAATGACGAGTGACAGACATACGAGCGTACAATAGGCATATGAGCGTAGAACTAAGGGAGCATGAATTTGAGATGTATATTAACTGAGAATTATAATTCCCTATGAAAAAAATGGAGTTATTATTAATGTAAAAGTGACTCAACGTGCTGTCTGAATTTTTAAAGTCCGTTCAAAAGCTATAATGAATCATCTAAGTGTGTGGTAGTACTAAAATTTATCAGATTTCATTTTGACAGTTTGGTTCAGACCCAAAAACCACAAGTCATTAATACGTATAAAAAATATTCTATGAAACAAAAAATTATAAATCTCTTGTGCTGTAGAATTATTTATTGTTCGGCTGAATAAAGTGGAAATAAAACAAAAGTATCTGTGGATCGATGGCAATTTATGAGTGGTTCATGTTAGACATTTTAATAACTTCACAAGTTTGAAAAATACTGTTGTTCTAATTTATCTTCACGATTATATGTGGCAATAAGATGTATTTGAATCATAGTACAAACTAAGAATCCCAGAAATAACGCACTTCAACCATGAAGCATTAGATGAGCACGAACAAACCTTTTGTATTCGGAATTCAAAATCAATCAGTCAATAAGTACGAAGGAACCATTAGTTCATACAAACACTACACTATAGTTGCTACAGTCCACTCAACATTGAAAGCATGTTTAATCCTAATATTGTATATTCCAGTAAAGAACAGTCTCAGATGCTCACCAGTTCAAAACAACTCTCTCCAGCCTCCAAAATATGCTCTAAACTGACCATTATGAAAGCTGACCATTGAATGAATTTTATCAGTTTGTAGTGATATGGGTGTACGATTAGTGTAAAACGAGACATTTAGCAAATGGAATCAATTGTGAGAAATCAGTGTTTTTATATTACATAAACATAGGCTTCAATTACCCATTTGCATCTTTCGGTGTGTTCTGCAATCAGAATTGTCTTCCCGTATAGTCTACCGTTACTTCTACTGTTACTTAGCTTTCGATGTACTGAAAATTATGGGGAATTCCAGTAAAAGAACTTAATGCGGAGGTAACGACGCACAAAGTTATTTATACACCCAAAAATATTAAAAATACAAACCAAATGAAAAAGGAACGAATTGAGCGAAGAAATTTCTTTTCAATTAGTTTTTCATCATGGCTCTACACTAATATATATATATATATATATATATATATATATATATATATATATATATATATATATATATGTTTTACAATAATAATATAATACTCATCGAGTAGATACGTTACGTAATAATTACATAATGACATTTAAATTAACATTCAGTAATTGGAAGAGAGAGGATTATTAATATTCAAAGTAATCAAGAAGTTGCTATGTTGCGTAATATAAGAAACAAAGAAGGAACAGAATTTTAACAGATGGTCAATAGGATGGTAGTTACGTAAGAATCGAGAGATGAATGTTGAGAAGTTATTAAGTTCAAAAGCAACAGAAATAAAAAATAAAAATAAAAATAATAAAAAATAGTTATTTTGAAGGAAATCTTAAACTGATGGCCAGGGCAGGGAAAGTGGTTGTACGAATCTCTTTTGGATGCAAAGGTCAGGTTTGTGAACATGGATTGCGATGGCTTCCGCAATGTGCAAGAGGCGCACTCGTAAACCATGTGGCAAATTAGATGGGATATTGTAGATAACCTTAAAAGCTTTATTCAGTTCGACTTGATGACCTGTGTCAACCAAGTGAGAGAGAATAGAACTTTTAATCACTTTTACCTGTCCTTTGCTTAACCACGACGGATGATGTTCAGTAATGCGATGACGGACTTGCCGAACTGTACGCCCAATATAACTGGCTCCACAGGAGCAGTTGAAACGATAGATGCACATAGATTTGGCGAATTCAGGCAGTCTGTCTTTGTTGGCTGTTCTTATCTTGGGATAGTTGTAGAAGATTGCATTTAATCTGGCAGCATTAAATGTTTTTTGTACGGCTCTTCTTAGTTTCTGAGTCAAGATTTCTTCAATGGTGTCATCTATGAATTGTAGTTTTATGAATAGTAACTTCTTATGAACGGTGGGTATCTTTGTCCTTGTTTTCTTCACCATCATATGTTTGTCGATGAATTTCATGGGATACCCATTCATGCTAAGTAGGTTCCGAATATTATTCAATAGAATTGAAATCTTGCAAACAAGTTTATAAGTGCTATTTTATTAGGTACAAACCCACTTCATCTATATGCTTCTTGTTTATCTTCAGAAAGAAAAACAGCAGATATATTAAAATCTGTGCTTTAATTCAAAGTACAAAGGATGTGCAACACTATTATGGGCAACATGAATTTATTGAATATAGTTTGTTTAGACTTCTATGTTGTACTGAGCATGCATTTGTAGCATGGTGTCGAGTCCCAGTTGACTATGAATACCGCTACAAAGGAACGCGTGCCAGAATATCCATAAAATCCCCCGGAAGCGAAATATCAGAAGGCAGTTAATGGACCTAGTTGAGATTTATTTGCTGGCGATCTCGTGGTATCGAAAGAATACTGAGATCGTGCCAGGATACAAACTTGGTTACTGAGCGTAACCGGATTCGCGCGAGGTCACAATCAAAGTGAGTATAATGGATGTTTTTAGCACAGTTAAACAAAGAGCACATTAAACAGTCACTGGTACAATTGGTTATAATAATAATTGTTTTCAATAAATCAATCGTGTTCTCGTGATAAATGTGAGTCACTACACATTATTGAATGAATGCACTATTATTTCTATTTTTTTTAAACTTATAAGGATTTTGGAGTGAAGTAAAAAATTCAACTTTTGTACTTTGTGGTGAAAACCATGATATGTATGTAGATATAATGAACAGAAATTCCATTTCAGGTATATCTACAAAATTTTTTGAAATTGCTGCACTGTTTACATACCAATACTCATTGATGCCGAAAACTCACTCAAAGTGTAATACAAAACAGATGATTCTCAGTATACATTGGTAATTGTGTTTCCTAGGTAAATGATACTCAAAATATTCTGGATGTTAGTTAATCCCTTTATTCTGTGAATTCTGGTAATCTATTTTAAACAGGAGGCATTAATGTATTTCGTAGTAAGACACTTAGTTATACCTATTAATTGAGGATTCTTTATACGTGGATCAACCCAGTCAATTTAAAAGGGTTTTGTTGCTACCAATTCGACAATCGTTACTACCCAATAAACACTGAAAAAAGTGTTCCATCTTCATACTAAACAACCCACCAATTCATACAATGAGAAACTGTAAAGCTCCAAATACTACCTTTAGGTTTTACAGAATAACATGATATAAGAATTATCGTTTGTAGAAACATGATTGGAAAGCTAAAAAAATGTTACCAATTACCGATGCAATAAAAGCGTTTGCATATGAAAAACCTTTATATTCTTGTTAAGCGGACCAAACTATATATATACTCACGTTTGCATGCATGTATTTTTTGCTATTTATTGATATAATTACATTTAATGTTACTATCAGATGACCAATAACGTTTATATGCACATTTAAGTTTCATCAAACTGATTAACTAATAAACAACAATGCACTTTTTTCTTGACCCAATTAGTTGTAAGAAGTGGAATATCAGGTTAGTATAACCAATACAACTATCATTAATAATTTCATTCATCAATATCTTACAAAGTTTACATTAAACTCAACCTATATAAAGAGATCATTCACTAAGAATAGTGTGTGGTTAAAATATTGTTATCTCTTCAATCAACAGTCACCAGATTCTCATTGATTCGATTTTCATCATCTTACGCAAGTGTGAAGTACTGTGATATGCAGAAACAATCCGGTAAGTCAGAACATTTTGTGAGACAATGTTGCTCTACACTTTTCAAGATGCAATACAATTTCAATGCCTCATTCTGATGTCACAAATCATGCATAGCTTGTGATTCATCTGACAAAAAAAATTTGACACTGGTTAGTAATTATGATAATCACTTAGTCGGAAACCTTACTGGAGTTGTATAGCAAAACTGATCTGTGTTCCAAGTGTATTCAGTATATCCAATAATTTACTTTAGATCTTTCAAACTGAATCAGTATCCTACTAAACAAGTTAGTATTTTCATCATAATCTCCTTGACTGGTTAAATAAAATTTGATCACAACAACAATCATCATTCAGTGGCCAATGTGCATACATAACATTTCATCTCCTAGTTAATAGTCAGTTTTGAATATGACTATGTGAATGGTAAGATCAGTTGTGTTGTAAAGGCTAAACAAAGAAGGTGCCGTTAAACATTTTATCTGTCAATATAGGGTCAGCAAGCGAAAATGTGTGTTTCCCCCCCCCCCTTTGGATAGTTCATTTGAGATTTGTAAGCAAGTATGTCTGTAAAATCAAAATCGTAAACACTCGAAATTTACATCTCATTATAAAGCTCGTGAACTCAATATTCGTTATCAATGCCTTCTTACTTCGTCATTTACTGATAAGAATAACTTATTTATAACTAATCAAACAGTTGTTGACTTAATACTTCAAAATATTTTTAAAGTAACTAGACATATGTTGATCAGTTAGATAAAGAAAAAATGTGTATATTTACCCAACTATTATTTCTTCAGTTATTTAATCCCTAATGGTAGCCAACAGAACTGGAGATGATTTTGATATGTCATTATAATATATGGTTTACGATTATATATCAGATGTGTAAATTTGTTTATCCATATGTTTTTCCATAAATGATTAATTCACATAAATTTAATACTGACTTCCGAAAACGCTATGTTCGATTCTATTCACTAGATCAAGAAACAAGATATTTTGGAATTTTCTAATTGACAGATAGCAAAACGAGTAATAAAAATAGTCAATTTAGGGGTTATGGAGATTATTGAGTTTTTGATTGAGACCATGAACCGATTGATGTAAGACCACCGTTGGAAACCTGGAAGCACTGGACGGCCGTTTCGTCCTATTGTGGGATTCCTCAATTGGTTTATGATCTCAATCAAAACTTAGTGATCTCCACAACCCCTATACTGACAATTAACATGTGATCACTAGTGACTAGCTTCGTGAGTGAATTCTCAGAGTTCTAGTGAGAAGCCGTGACCAGTGGAACTAATCCATGTCGGATAGAGACATGTATCTACCTTAGTACAATTGAAGATTGTCGCTCGGTTTCGTGGATTGGTTGATGTTAGACACTAACACGATTGGATGCCGGCCCAGTGTTCCAGTAGGTTAAGCGTTCGCGTACGAGACTGAAGGCCCTAGGTTCGAATCTCGCGAGCGGGATCGTGGATTTGCACTGCTGAGGAGTCCCACAATAGGAAGAAACTGCTGTCCAGTGCATCCAGTTTTCCAATGGTGGTCTAACATCAATCGGTTCATGATCTCAATCAAAAATAAAAATAGTTATATACTGTCATTATATACGTTCCTGAATGTGATTTCTGAGTACTAATTAAGTGCTTTTTAATTCATCTAGTGGTTCTTTTTACATTTAAATCATCGGGTGTATTACTCTTTATGTTTACCGATTAAAATATCTATGTTTAACAGTAGTGGTCAACTTTTATTTGTATTTTATCAGTTCTAACTAACTTATCAATACTTACTCGATTATTGTATCTTCAAAATTTATGAGGATAAATTCGGATGCCTGTAGCTTGAGAAACCATATCTCTTTCATCTGTGTTAAAAAATAGCCTATTTTTTTTAAAATAAGGGTCAAACATATTTAGGTTTTAGTGTTAGACTGTATCGGTATAGATCTGTTCATTACTACAACTAGATTGATGATGAGACCACAAGGGATTTCAAAATTTTAGCTTTTTAAAACAAAAATTAATTTTAATCTAATCAGAAGAAAATGTTTACAGGAAAGTATTTCTTGAGAATACCATCGGTTAGCTAAAATCAAATTTTTATTCACCATCAAATGTTACTCACCATGTAAATGCCATTTTACAATGAAAGAATCATTTTCATTAAATTTCAAATTTTCTTTCATTTTACAAAATACAATCTAGTTTTTTTATTTATATCTTATAGAGAAAACATTATCTAAAGTTGAAGTTCCACTGATCACCACTAATCAACCAAAAGCACGAGAAGAGTTTAGAGATAGATCAACAACCTTAAAATGTCCATCATGTGGGAAAGATATATCTACACAATTAGAATATCATAATGGTTTATTAACTTATGCAGCTTGTATCGGTATATTCCTTCTTGGGTAGGTTAGTTAATTTTATGATGTTAATTTATCTATTATTATAGATAAAATTCTAGTTAATAAGTTTCATACGACATTGTGATAGCAACATTACAACAACAAAAAAAAGAAAGTAAAGTGATTCATTTCGATTTTCATACAACCTTTATTCAGTCAAATGATGTTAAAAAGTAGAGTAATAAAGATTATCCTGGTTGTCAGACATTATGTTTATTGAAATAAAGACTAATTTGTTATTTATTGAAGTGAACTTATTTAAATGCTATCCTATTATGGTATTGTATGACAATTTAGTATACACCATCATCTCTTAACAATGGCATGAAAACTTTCTCTAATAATGATACATCCACAAGAAACTAAATTGTATGTAGATCTCCTAATGTTATAGTAGGAAGTTATGATTGTTTAAGTCAAGAGAGTGACACCGTATCTCACCCACAACATTGGACATTAGAAGCCTTGTAATGAAAACAGACCAAAGTTAGATATATAAGTGAATAGATTTTGACTGAATAAATCAATACTGATACTCATCGTGACGGATATAAACATACATGTATATGGGTTGGTACGATAAAGTTATTTTAATTCATCCTCATAAGAATTAAAAAGGATAAAATGCTTTAAATAAACTTAAGTAGTTTTAAACTATGTAACCTATCAGTAAAATCTTTGACATCAACATACGAAAATCGAGAAGTGACATCACCTTCGATTAGTTAAATGCTGAAAAGATTAAAGTTCGTCTTAATTTGATCACAGGTTTTTCAACCTTTCATTTCTAATTATATATAATTGTGTCATAGAGTTTGTTATAGCAAATAATTTTCATACAAGGATGATTGAGTTATTTTGTATTCTGAAATTGTTATCGATCCCCTATGAAATATTTCAAGAAAGCTTCTCACGTACATTTAGATATGAAAATAGCGATCGAGTGGATGTTAACGGATTAGAAGGAAATTTTCAGATAATAAATGTGAAACACCATTACATATTAGCAATGAAATGATGTAGAAATATTTTTGTCTAGATATCGAATGATGATTTTCTGTATTCTGGTGAACGATATATTGTTAATTATCAGTATGGTGTTGTAGAGATTGATGAGTTTTTGATTGAGACCACGGATGCTGGCTCAGTGGTCTAGAGGTTAAGGGTTTGCGCGCGAGACCCTGGTCCGAATCCAACATGTGGGATCGTGGATGAGCACCGCTGAGGAGTCCCATATTAGGAAAAAAAGACCCTCCAATACTTCCAGGTCTTCAATGGTGGTCTAACATGGGTAGATTCATCACCTCACATATTAGGCTTTTCAAATATATAAGAATTAATAAGTGTGAATACTAGTTCACTCGAAAACTAATTTTATTTCAATAATTTAGCCGTTATAATTTATTCTAGTTCATTTAATTTTCATACTTTTTGTACAGAGGAGCTTGTGGTTGTTGTTTAATACCATTCTGTGTGAAAGCGTGTAAAGATGTGGATCATAAATGCCCAAGTTGTCACAGATACATTGGATCTTATCGTAGACTAGGAGACTGAACATTTAACATTAGAAGATGAATCAAGCTAATTAATAATGATAAATTCATACTCGAGATATCAATATCAAACTCTCATATAATTACAGTTTTAAATCATTTTATTCTACTATGAAAGCTTGTTTATTCAATAATAATACAAATATTTGATATAAATGATTTAGTTTTATTTAAAAGTTTAACATTTAATTGCATTTCAATTTGGTTTCTAACTTCTCAATAATCAAATATTTATTCGTCGAGACTCTAATTTATGGACGAGCCAATCAGAAGCATTTGAGCAATTTCAAGGTCACGGAGTCAATCTCAACACCTGATGCTCACATACGATAAATTAGAGTCTCGCCGTTTATTTTAATGATAATGAATGGTGTAATTGTTGTTTCTATGAAAAGGAATATTGTTCACCATTCGATTTGTGTCACATTCATAACATTCAAATATACAAAGTGATTTATTCATTAACTAAATAAAAGTTACATTTTTTGAACAAATAATCAGTGATTTTCTACAATTTGTGCATTATTTAGAGAAAATTTTCTGTTGATTAACTTTCATCAAAAGATAGATAACATAAATAAGAATGAAATAATGGAGTAGCATAATAATGAAAAGAGAATTCGGCGAAAAAAATTTTCTTTTCGACGAAATCATTTACTTAAGCTGTACATTCGTATGTATAGAGATATATAGAAAATGTATGTCAATAGGAGGATGGAAAAAAATTGCATCAATAAAATGGATTCGAGTATTTATGGGTTATTTTAATTATCTGAGGAGTAGCATAAATTTATGTACATCGTAATCTTTTCATAATACATCATCGTGATTAAAAAAAAACAACATTTTAACACATTTCATGATATGTGAGTATTTGTGTTGAGCTTATAAAGTAACTTGTTTGTTGACATCTTCGCTGAGAATTTATTTCAAAACAACTTTCAGTAACATAAATAAACATTTGCATACCTTCAAATATACATTATTTTATGATGTTTGTAATATATCTTTGCTATAATCAATTCTTCAAAGAAAATCAAGAGAAACTATCTAATGATTTTCACTTGTAATAAAACAAAGTTAGACTATATTATGCTGGGTTTTGAAATGAAGATTTCAAAAATCATTACTTCTAACATTGATATCAGAGTTTATATATGTAGGAGTTTGTTATACTGTTTGAATGATCTGAAGAATTTCTGTTGTTTTGAAATAACAAAAATAATCATGGAATTGTGTACTAAGTCGTACATGAATAGAAAACGCTGCTGACAATATATTGACATTCTAATCGTTTGTGATTTCTTAAACGTCTTTTTTGTAGTATCATAATAACTTTTTACTTAATAGATTCCTTGTAGATAAAATGGAGAAAGCAGATAATCAGTATCTGATAATGTTGAAATAATCCGGTGTAATCTACACTTCGAACTATTATTAAGGCGACTTCTCTCGGTGGATGGTATTGAAGGAAAATATCACTAATTTAAGATGACAAAGGTTAAGTGGACCTAAATCATCTTGATAGGATGCCAACTAAAGTCGTATAAAAGTGAAATCTGTATTCTCTAAAGATGACCCTAGTTTATATATCATCTCAACAATAAATTTCATACATTTTCAACTTTTATAAATTTGTGTTTAAAGATCATACAGTCGAATGCGAATGCTAAAAAATATCATAGAATGTACTTTTACATAGATAAATTCATAGTACTGTCTATACAGATATGTATGAAGCTTTGGTCACTATATTTTAAATTATGTGCTGTAAAATAGCAACTACTCATAAGTAACATGGCTTGATTATATAAATTTAAGGTTGCTAATTAGAAATTAATAATATTTATTTTCCCATGCAATGCTAATTTTCATGCATTTACTTTGATTTTCAGTCATTCCTCCGTGGTTGAACTATACGGTAGGCACAGAACAGTGTTTTTGAAGTCCCTTAATAATTCCTGAGATATTTACTTTTTGAAACACTCCTTTTGTTAGAGTAGATTTATGATGAATGTAAACTATAAATGATGGGAAAATTCTATATCATAACAGAAATATTGTTGACGCGTAATTCACATGTTGAACATCATATTCATAGTTCTAATGTACTAGTCATAACAATGTAATTATTTAGTTTAGGATATTTTCAAATGACGTTATACTAGTAGACATGTAGAATTAATTTCAGTGTTTTTGATAAGCCTGGCGTTTGAACTCTCGTTGCCGTTATCTCAAAGGCTTCCTATAACCCTGAACTACTTCTACATTTCCACCCGAACAATAGATAAAATACATGCTATGCAAGCTAAAGTTTTACTCCAATAACAATGAAGTTCAGAAAACTGGGTGCCTTTGTTATGTTTTATAGGATCTTCATCTTCCAAAAATCCCTGGAAATATACTTAATTTGGTGACAGCATAAGCAGATATTTAACGAAAATAGAACAAAACTCTTCATTTTTTAAATATTTTCCTAAGGTGTCTGTCTGATACTGACTGGGTAAAACGTTTTTACCCCTTCTCCGGGCCTCTGCAATTATTTTTCGAGCTATATATACGAACTCCCATTAGCTTCGTTTACATCAGTATGAACTATGACATGTACGACATAGTCACTCACAATGAAATGCTAATCAATGTCAAACTTAACCAATAGTTGTTTAATGGTACCAACCGATTATCACATTAGCAAAAAGCAACAAGCAAATTATTTCATTTGTATTTCGATTGAGTATTTCATACGTACCTCTTTCATGAAACCAATATTTGAAGTTTTCAACCCCTAATATAGCAAAATAATTTAGATCGAATATGTTATCATCAACCCATAGTTTAGTTTCCATTACTCTAAGTAATACTATTTTCTTTGGAGAATCAAAATAATCACGACTCATTTGATTAATGGAAAGACTGAAAGGATTGATTTAGCTGACTCGAAATTCACTTATTAAAATTCTGACCTCAAAATTAGTGGTTCAAATATCAATTAGTCGTCAATCTTCAGCGTTTTGAGATCCGTGTCTACAATATTGTTCTCACAGTGTGAAAACACTTAACGCGGAAACTACTTTTATTTTGATGGAAACTGTAAAATGTTTTTTTTACAAGCGTGAACTCTACGCTTCGTAGTTCATGAGCAGTACTGCTTGACAAGAAACGTTCATATCAATTTGAAAATGACATGATACAGGTGTACAATAATGTACAAATAGTGTAGCTTTTTGTACATATCGGGCAGTAATTGTATTCATGAACCGATCAATGTTAGATCACCGTCGAAAAATGCTGAGGAGTCGGATGCTAGGATGAAACGACCGTTCAGTGCTTCCAGGTTTCCAGTGGTGGTCTAACATTGGTCGGTTAATGAGCTCAAATAAAATTGAGCAGTCTTTACACCATCTTGGTTATTCCTTGTTCACATTTCCTCACGGAACTAGCACTTAAACAAAATAAATTTCATGTATATACAATTGCACAGCTTAATAATAAATTCGTTGAAAGGAGATCTCTTTGCTGAACCTCGTGTTTTTAATGCTTAAATGGGGATTATCTGTTAATCTCTACAAGCCTATAATGATAATGATCATGTTCTCACTAGTAACTAGCTTTGAGAGGTGGTTCTCAGAGAACTAGTAATAAGCTGTGGTCAGTGGAGATCAATAATGCCATATGTGTGGCAATTACCCTCCCAAAGACAATGGAAGATGGCCGAACAATATCGTGGATTGATCAAAATTAGACATTATAATCGTTGGATGCCGGTTCAGGGGTCTAGAGGTTAACCATTTACGCGCGAGTATATCAGCATATATATACTTGCTGAACAATATAGTGCATTCAAGCTTGACGATGAATAATTGTATTTTTTATGCCCCTTAACAAATTAAACCAAAATTATAACTTCAGTTGAATTGATAAGTAAGTGATATAACGACCTGTTGAAAAGACTATATCCCCTGGCTTCTTGTGGCACATGGTAAACGTATATAGAAGTATATGAAACAGACACCAGCTCGCAATAAATATAGTCATCCAAGACCCAGTGCTAACTGAATTCACGATTGACTAGGAGTATAAGCAGGTGATTTTGCAAAATCTGTCCTTCAGGATATTAAGTGACCTGTGAACAGTTTGGTTGTGGAATTTATGGTTTTGGATGCTGAAGGGATGAATTTTCAGACCGACAACGTCTAACGTAACTAATATTCACGTGTTTTCCTGATGACTGTGGTCACGTCAAAAACATAAAAAGATAACACCTCCTTGAGGACGTCTAACAATACCAAAGTTGATTCATTCCACTTTCTTAACTAACCGATTATTAACAGCGTTCTCAATAGTACAGACTATTCAGTTTCGTCAACATAAATACACAATACTTCATGGTTTCACCAAGTCCCATTTTTTGATTGACTCTGGGGCTGCATCTGATTCAAATACGATTTTAAACCTTTTGATATCCTTATTCCTACAGAGCAACTGAAAATGTATAAATATAGTTGTTTCAGAAATATCTTTCATGGAGTTAAATGTACACAATAAATAAACAATCTGACACTACTTCGTTTATCACATTCATCATTTCATACACGAACTACCGATGAAAGCGATGAATGAAATTAAAAAGCATGACTACACTAAAACATGAAGCTTATGTTGCTATCCACATCATATACCATCAGCTAGGTTGTGACAACATCAAATTCACTGGAAATATTAGATCTTGTGACAATATACATTGTAAATGTCCGATTCATCTCCATTCACACCATATCACATTCACTATCTAGTTAAATACTTCCTTCAAAATTTACGTTACAGACCATCAGACACCTACAACAACTACATCATGATAACCAGTCGTTGGTGTGCAATCCACATCATCAATTAACTCAAGTGAATATCCTCGATCGGAGTATCAGTCAGTGCGGAACACAAGATAAATTGACTGGATGAATTTCATCTTCTATAAATGGGTTCCAACTCATCCGAGCCACTGGCAGCAAGAAGTCTGGTGTGAGCGAAACAATCTGCGAGGATGATGGGATGCCAATGACTAACATCCATCGACGCCTTGGACGATGGGCAGAATTCTTCGAAGGGCAGTTCAACCGGCCTGCTGCCCCGTCAACATCGGTCAGACTGTCCTGCCCTCCAACGCGTCGGTGAGAGCAGTTCTGCTCTATGCTTGTGAGTCCTGGCCTCTCCTAGCTGAGGATGTTAGACGACTATCTGTGTTTGATCATCGTTGTCTCCGAAGGATTGCTGACATTCAGTGGCAACACCGTGTTAGTAATGCAGAGGTTCGGCATCGTGTGTTCGGGCACAGAGATGATAATGCAATTGGTGTCACCATCTTGAAACACCGACTTTGGTGGCTTGGACATGTTCTACGAATGTCATCCCAGAAACTTCCACGTCATGCATTATTTGCCGACTCTGGGACTGGTTGGAAAAAGCGGAGAGGTGGTCAGTGTATGAAATGTGTCGTAGTATGAAAGAAAGCTGCAAAGGACTGGCTTCTGTCAGTCCTTCACGTCTCCCTGGTTGGGGTCCGAGAGATGGTGCTACACAGTGGCTAAAGACGTTATCAGATATGGCTCAGAATAGAAGCCAGTGGCGATCCTGCTGTAACCTTCTTTTACTTTCTTCATATAAGGTGGTTGTATATTCCTTAACAGAAAGATTTCTTCTGGTTGTATCTTTCCGTTTCCTCCATCATTATTATTATTATTACACCACCTTACGCTAATCTGTTTGTTATTGTTCTATTTTTACGCTCCTCACCTTTTTTCCTTCTCCTCTTCAAATTCCCATTGTTATGTGTGGCGCATATATATTTGGTGCCCTCTTGTACCAATGTTTATGTGTTCAAATAAATAAATAAAAAATAAATAAGTCTATGTATCCGTGACAAATATATTTGTGAAAGAAAATTAACAAAGAAACATACTCATTGACCAATTTGATACAAAAGTATATATCACAACATATTTGCAAATTAACATTATTTCATATATTTTTCTTGTAACGTGCGATATGTTCCAATGTGATGACCGCATTCAGGACATTTGTGATCAACATCTTTACATGCTTTTACACAAAATGGAATGAGACAACAGCCACAGAAGCACCTTAAATACACAAAATGAAAGATAAGCAGTTTAACTATTAATTGAATGTTAACTGAACATGTTAATTTGAATACTATTCACTTCGTAAACTGATATAACTTGCTTGGAGGAACTCATTTATCATCCATTGAGCACTGAATATTTGTTTGTTTTTAGTCTTATCTCACTATTATTATTAATTATAGCACGTTGAAGTTCTATGTTACATTTTCGTTTAATACTATACCAATAAACTAAATTATTTTTTTGATTTTATTATCAGTGTGAAATTTAACAATAGCCAATCTTATTAAACTTGAAGCCAAGTTTAAACAGAATAATTTATCATTCTATATATTAATGATTAGAAATTATTTTCTAAGTTGATAGGGATTAGCTTTTGAACTATTAATGATCAATTATTTTTACAGTGAAATTCATCCATTTTATTAGAATATTAACATTTGTCATCTCAATACAAACAGAATTTTGATTCGAACATTCGAACAATCAAGAGTGAAGATTTTTTCCTCATTTTCATAAATTAAACAGTATTGCTATAACTTTTTTATAGGTAATCAATATCAAGGTTGAACTTGATAGTTTCTATAATGAATATTTTTTGTTATATCTCAATGAGTTGAAAATTTGTATTTCTGATGTTTCGTGACTTAAAGTAAGCCACTTCTTCAGAGTAAATAAATAACCGAATTAAATTAACACAAGGTTAAATAGTACAAAAGAAAAGACAGTATATATATATATATATATATATATATATATATATATATATATATATATATATATATATATATATATACAAAACCGTATTGAACACAGAAATTATGAGTAAATTGTATGCTTTTATTTACTAACGGTTAATATTGAGATCTGAATTGCATTTTAACCTAATTTTGAACTTGTCAGACTGAAATTTTCACTGGAAATTTAACTAACTATCCATTTAGTTTTCGAAATTCGATGCACTATTTGATAGGCTATTAAATTATGACACCCATATCTTGAGAAATAAATTATTCTTTTACCCACTACTGAATGGTAGTATAATATAGTGAAAATCAATATCAAAATAGAAGTAGCCTAAAAAGGTTTCAGTATATTAATCAAAACAAAATGATCTGGAAATTAATACAAATTTCAAAGATTCAAATACCTATACTTAAATGATGATTATTATCAATTTATCAATCTTGGATGAAAGTAACTAATAATGATTAACATTGAATATCCTAAATCTCAATTTACAGTTGCTGGATTATTCCACTATTCAATTTCGCTGAAATCTACTCCATCATCAATACTAATTTTCATAGCATTATGCACTCCATATTACTTAAACTTATATCGAACGTAAATGATTGAAGTAAGGTGAATTATTTGTTTGGAGGTTTACTGTTATCTATCAGATGATTGTCAAAAATGGTAAGAGATCACCCTCTAGACATACCTAATTTATAAATTATAAATTAGTGACAACTTTGGAATATTTTTGTAACATGGTATTGTTAACTGACTTTGAGTAACATACTGTCAATTTTAAAAGCGATTAACCATTAAAAATAATTTGAATTTCGGTTTATATAAAGCAAATCATAACACAATACATTACTTATGTCTATTTAATGACTTGATCAATTGAATTATACTTAGACAGTCAAGTAGTGTATGGTTAAACTCCTCAGAATATTTGACTCTTGGGTTGACACAACAACAACTACATGACACATACATTTACATACTAATACATTTTAGCATAATTAAACATTAAACCAGTAGATCCTAGATTCGAATCTCGCAGGGGGCGGGGTCGTGGATGCGCACTGCCGAGGAGTCCCACGATAGGACGAAACGGCCGTCCAGTGCTTCCAGGTTTTCCATGGTGATCTAGCTTCAACTGACTCATGATCTTAACCATTGAAATTAAACTTTGTATTGATCATGAATTAAATATTAGAACTAAAATTTCAATGAAACATACAATATTAGGAAATGATTATCCGTTTTGAAGTTATTACCGGTTAATAATCATTTTCAAAATAATAAACATTTTGTTTATATATTAAGAAATAACTCGTTTTTTAAACAAGTGAATATCAAATCAAACACTGTTGTTAACTTACCCAACTATGCATAAACCTGTACAAGCTGCATAAGTTAGCATACCATTACGATGTTTAATCTTCGTTACAATTTCTTGATGACAGTTGGGACATTTCAAAGTTATTGGATGGTCTTGTAAAGGAATTATAGTTACTGGTTGACTTGTAACTACTGGTGTTTCTTTATTCTGGTCAGATTTGTCTGATAACACTAGAATAAGATAAATATCAGTAAAACAATTTTATTCAATAATTACAATAAAAGATTAAGAAAATTTAGCAGACTATTATTACTGAACGAACTTTTAAATATTTTGCTTTATACCAAGTGGTTGGTAACAAACGATAAGAAACGCCAAATTTAGCTTTCTTGTTAGTCAGTACACTTCGACTTGTAACTATAATTTTAAGAGAACTAATACATACCTCAATGTTATTATTAAACATATTACCACTAAACTATTGTACAACTTTCCAACTTCAATCAGTTTGCTGATTATCTCAGTTATGATATCACAAAAATTCTGTTATACAATATAAGATGAATGGCGAAATATGTTGCAAATGACCTAATACTGTTTTCATTGTAGTGATTATTCATTTTACAACCACTCAGTAAATACAATAAATAAAGTAATATCCTCTTTTTGATAGCAAACCTTTTAGGATAAATTACAGGAATTTACCATTTATTTATTTGTTAATAATTATAGTGATAAATAAAATGCTTTGTCAGTTAGTCATTGAAGAAATATGAATATTTCAATCAAAAATCTATCAACCTCTACTTACTTACTTACGCCTGTTACTCCCAATGGAGCATAGGCCGCCGATCAGCATTCTCCAACCCACTCTGTCCTGGGCCTTTCTTTCTAATTCCATCCAATTTTTGTTCATTTTTCTCATGTCTATCTCCATTTCCCGGTGTAATGTGTTCTTTGGACTTCTTCATTTCTTTTGGCCTTGAGGATTCCATGTGAGGGCTTGTCTTGTGACGCAGTTGGGTGCTTTCCTCAATGTGTGTCCTATCCACTTCCAGCGCTTCTTCCTTGTTTCTTCCTTCACTGGGATCTGGTTTGTTCTTTCCCACAATTGGTTGTTGCTAATAGTGTCCGGCCAACGGATCTGAAGTATTTTGCGTAGACAGCTGTTAATAAACACCTGTATCTTCTGGATGATGGCTTTCGTAGTTCGCCAGGATTCTGCCACATACAGTAGAACTATCTTGACATCTGTATTGAAAATTCTGACCTTAGTGTTGGTTGACAGTTGCTTTGAGTTCCAGATGTTCCTCAGTTGTAAATATGATGCTTTTGCTTTACCGATACGCGCCTTCACATCTGCATCAGATCCACCCTGTTCATCAATGATGCTGCCCAAATATGTAAAGGTTTTTACATCTTCCAAATCTTCTCCGTCAATTGTGACTGGATTGGTGCATGCTGTGCTGTGTCGAAGAGTATTGCTTTTCCCTTTGTGTATATTGAGACCTACTGCTGCTGCTACACTGGTCGTTTTCTCCTGCATTTGTTGTTGCGTTTGCGATAGGAGGGCCAGATCATCTGCGAAGTCTAGATTGTCCAATTGCATCCTAGATGTTCATTGTATCCCGTGTTTCTATCAACCTCTATACTTACAATAAAATTAAAACGCACTGATCCATATACTTGCCTATACAGAAATAGTCCAGATAAGTTATTCAACAACGGTGTATCCTGATATAACTAATAATTGGCCATTTGACAATAAGATTACTCTTACCTGATTCACTATATCTATTTATCCTTGAGAACGATATTTACAGTCATTCTATTCACAAATGTGATAAATAAGAGAAAATCCCTGAGGTGATATAAATATTACTAATATCTCAGTTACAATATATAAAAGTCAATAACACAAAACAGAATAATGATAACAAATAGGATGATAAATATCTCGTTTTTTGTAATAAGTAAACAATCGAAATCAGTCAATGATTTACATAATCGTATTCAAGTAATCTTATGAATAGTTCAATCCCATCAGTGAATTTTTAATAATTTTTTAAATCCTCGGTGTATTGGTTAAATCAAATAGTGTAGCTCATTTACTAGGAATACGTTTATGTATTCAGTTTTAGTCAATACTGCTCATGTGAACGATAACGAAACTACCCATCAACACAAATTGAAAATAATGAATTGGGTATGAACCTGAAACCTAAAAAATGGGAGCTGATAACTTTAACCTCTACGGTAGTAATGTTAGTCACTCTCTAGGTAGTACATTTCATGTATAAAAATAAAATGATTACATGTTGAAATATACTAATGAGAATGAGAAAAATAAGAAATTTAAATTTCCTGCTATTTAATTTATATAATACACTTGAAAGACGCTCAGAAGTAACGGGATTTACTTATAACTCGCTATTGAAAACTTGAAAACATCGGACGACCGTTTCGTTCTATTGTGAGACCCCTCAGTGGTCCGAATCCACAATCTCGCTTGCATGATTCGGACCCAGTGCCTCGGTCTCGATCACATTTAACTATATTTCGTTTAACATCAATTCTTTTGTTTATATAAATCTATTTTGATTTTATTTCGGAAAACAAATTATTTGTAATTACCAACATTAAAAATTAAAATTCGATACGAATATTAATTTTTCAGAAATATCACAAAAGAAGTACATTCAATTAGGTGAATTCACTTACTAGGTTCTTGCTGTAAACCCATATTTGTTAAATTTCACTACAAATGATTAGTTTTCTGTAAGTTCACTTAGAAGATTTTTCTCACAAAATTCTTAATATCAATGGGATAGTTTTGCAATATGAAATAAAAAATAAAATGTAATCATTTTATTCTCATGTAATTTCATCTATTTATTAAATATAATAGTAAGAAACTCAATAAATTATTTTTAGATCATATTATCTGTATAATTGGTTGATTCAATATCAATTCTGGCCTATAGTAAGTGGAATAAGTGAAAGTGAATAAAAACCGGTTGTTAACTAGACCAATCATAATAACGGTTAGTTAACATGATTAATGATTACGTGACTAATAATTGCACCCACTTTAATTATTGTCCATAATAATAATAATAATAATAATAATAATAATAATAATAATAATAATAATAATAAAGATAACGATATTTACAGGCGCCATCAGAAGAAGCTTGTCTCGCCCATTACTTCTTTGTCAAGCAAATTGGCCTCAATCAATTATTGGTAATCGAAATAAATGATAAAAGTAAAAACTATTCATTAAAAGAAGTAAATTAACAAACTGTTTTTACCGTAGAAAAAATATTTCAGTTTTTGAGTAAAATAATTTCACTATTTAGTTTTATTTTGAAACGTTCACTCGAGACATTTCATTGAATATCATAATTTATTTATCCATAATGAACAATTTGATCTACTGGTTTACTTATTGTTACTTTTAAGAAAATGGAATACAAGTTCGAATCAAATTCATTTTCAGTGATAGTGTATGGATGAGAAGAAATGACGAAGTGATTTTCCTTCAGCATTGATAAGAAAAAATAGGAAAACAGCTAAATAGTTTAAACTGTTTTCAACTGTAAGACTTTAGGACTCGTTCTAATCTAATCACATCTAATTTACTACTTCAGGTAATAGCTTGGAACAAACATGACTCTTATGATGATACTTATGGACAGCCTAAATGAGTGATATTAAACCGAATTAGTGCAAACTATCATCCAAAGGGTTCTACAATATACCTGGTTGATGAATTCGAATAGGTGCGGATTTTAAAGTATAGTCTCTTCTCTCGATTCTTGGGTTAACATTTGTGGTATATTTTATTATGTAAGATGACTTTAGAAAACTTTACAATTACTAATACATTCTCAGTGTACAAAGTGAATGAAAACTAACTTCTTTGATGATAACAGTAATCCGTTAAAAAATGGATAGTACTAAGTTTCTAAAAGGTGAGGTATGGTACAAGTTGTAAGTCGTTGGAAAAGATACGTTATTATTGTAAAACGTTTTTCATTTCCATCGCTGCTACTGTGAAGAGACTCAATCATTTTTTATCGGCAAATAAGTTCTATAGACGGGTAAATTTTCAACAATGTACATCTGCAACCTTACACAGTATTAAATCTATGACCTTCAAGTTTTGCAGAGAACCCACTATGTAAATTGAATGGTCTAACTTCTATCAATTAATGTTTTAAGGTGACCATTATTCAGTGACATTGTGGTGCGTGCTACTTATATTGATATAAGTATATAACGTGAGTTAAAAGAACGTAATATCTGGCAGCAGAAGATGGGGAAGATCAAGAAAGGGAGGGCGACAGTCCGGTTTTATATGATGGAATGATATTTTGCAAATTAACAGTTTACTATATGGTTTTTCCATTTTACCAAGTAACTGTAATTTGTGCTAAATACAACATCACTGAATCTTCATTTCTTTCCCACTTTGTTCATTGACATGGAGGGCTTAAACTCTTGGAAAATGTTATGTCTGTCACTTTCACATCTGAAGAATACTGAACTAACCTGGTATTGAAACCCCTAATCCGACGGTGCGTAGTAAAAGCATAAACACTGATGATATTGGATTTCCTTGACCCCAAAAATAAGTTGGGTTAACACATGAATGCACTTATTTATATATCGATTTTATTCAAACCTGTTGATTAGTCGACAAACATCACACATAAGTGTAATGCACAGAATTACTACAAAAACCCGAGTTGCAAATTTTACCTTTAATTAATGCAAGAAATATTATCTTGAATAAACATCATACTGAAGTAAATCAATGTTATACTGAACGAAAATATTGTATTGTTTATAAATGATATATGCTAAAGACACACTAAATATTAGTTTATTAGGTTATAGTCACTAGGATATAAAAACCTGGGAAACCAGTTCAAGTGGATGTAATACACTTCAGTCTACCGTCTTTTTCATTCTGATCATACTTTATTACGTTTAGCTTATGTTCAAAACACGTAAATATGAGTTACTAATCATTTTCTTGATAAACTATTATTCCCTAATTGTCACCAATCAAATCGTATCTCCGTCTTATATTTTTCATGGTATATATCACATTCGTTAACCTCATAACACGCTAAATTTGTTACAAAGATGCTATTTTTTATCCATTAAACTGTTCTACTGCTCTAATTTTTAAATTTTTTCAAAGGTGGTTGAGTTATTTATGCTATCGGCAAATAGGGAGAACTTCTGTGCCGATAATCTATAACGGAATAAATATTAGCAGATTGGATTAACACTTTATCTATCAGTTTCATTCATAAAAATTATTCATTTAGTGTTATTCTCATTTCTGTTATCTATTATTTAAATAAAATCTGGTGTATCATTTATCATAACATGAATATATCTAATTGAAATTTCGTCTCTGAAGGTAAAAGATTGAATTTTACAATTTGTCATAGTCAGAAGAATTTATAATACTCAGAAGTGTATCAGAATTACATGTAACTCATCAATCAAATCCTTAACATAATTTATCCATATGGATTAACTATAACAATACATTTTTAAAGGGGAAGTTTTGGAGCATCAACTTAATCTTACTTAATCCTTATTTTTCTTATCTTGGTCATTATCTTTTTACTATTAACTTCACTTAGTTATTTTTATTATTTAACATTATTACAATTAACATAACAATGCAATGTTAAACTGAGATTTCATTTCATACTTTTTTTCATCTATATTTTATGATTAACGTGTGTAGACATCTATTTACAGTCTTACATATTGCTTCCAAGAATAAACCATTCATAGATCGGATATCAACTTATTCAGAAGTAAATGTTATAATTTCTATTCATTTTTATTGACTTACTTACTTACGCCTGTTACTCCTCATAAAGGAGCATAGGCCGCTCACCAGCATTCTCCATCCAACCCTGTCCTGGGCAATCCTTTCTAGCTCCGTCCAGTTGTAATTCATCGTTTTCATATCTGCTTCTATTATCCGACGCAATGTGTTCTTTGGCCTTCCACTTTTTCGCTTTCCTTCAGAATTCCAAGTTAGCGCTTGCCTCGTGATGCAGTTTGACGATTTGCGTAATGTATGTCCTATCCATTTCCATCGTCTTTTCCTAATTTCTTCTTCAGCTGGAAGTTGGTTTGTTCTCTCCCATAGAAGGCTATTGCTGATGGTATCCGGCCAATGGATATTGAGTATCTTGCGTAGACAGCTATTTATAAATACTTGTACCTTCTTGATGGTGGTTGTTGTAGTTCTCCAAGTTTCGGCTCCATACAGTAGAACTACCTTGACGTTGGTATTGAAGATTCTCACTTTGATATTGGTTGAAAGTTGTTTTGAGTCCCATATGTTCTTTAACTGTAGGAATGCTGTCCTTGCTTTGCCAATCCTTGCCTTTACGTCTGCATCTGAACCTCCTTGTTCATCGATGATGCTTTTTATTGACTGTTTAATTTAATTTGTTCGTAAAATCTAATTCAAATACTAAGATAGAATGACGTACTTCTTCATATTTCCATGCAATATTCCCTTTTGTATACTATTTAAAAGAAAAGATCAATAAATACACTAATATTATATGATAAACGCTAGTAACTATTTGAACTGTCTTATTATTTCTCTCTTTTTCTCAGTCTTGTATTATCTCAATGAGTTGTTACTAAACTAAAAAGCTATAAAAGTCAAACGGCATCATATTCATCTATGGTTAATATATCATCTTTAAGTTATTGTTCATACGTGAAATGTGCTCTCACTTTCTTTTGTTCTCTTCATCTTTAGTATAGTTTTGTAAACTGAAATAAGTAATTTAAAGTATACAATGAATATAAATCAAAACTTATTGGAAAACGTACTCTCTCTCTCTCTTGCTGTTGTTGTTATTGTTATTGTATTTTGAATAATTGTACGACTGTATTATTCAAATGCAAGTCATTGTGTAATTATTGTCAATTGTCATTCAATTTTTTTATTATTATGAATGAAGATTGTAAACTATTAATTAATATGTTACTAGTTGTATTCAATTCATGTCTGACTGACTGATCAGTTGATTGAATAAAGAAAATATTATTTTCTTTGAACATGTCTATTCTATAATCAATATCAGGAATATTTAACAGTTTAATGTATTTATCAAATAAAAACAATAAACTGTTAAAACTTGATCAATGAATTAGGCTGAAATTAAAAACATGTGTAAACATGCCTGTTTACAGGTCAAGTTAAATAAATTTGGATTCAAATAAAAACCTATAATCATTGTCCGATAAATAGTTTCTTAATGCACTTTGTATGAATGTCAAATACAAAAATCATGTAATTGGTGACAAGTAAAGAAGATTTCGTTTAAATTAAACGTTGTTATGCATATAATGACAATGGTTGATTAGTTAATATCTGTTAATAATCCATTTGGGTTAATAATCTAACAAATATGTAATTTTGTTATGTCTTGTCCATTTTATTATTTTTCTTTTTATTGTAATTGTAAGTACTTGTTACACAACTTTGTTATGAAGACGATTTTTTTAAAGTTAGTTTGATTATTCAGAAAAATGCTTCTTTACAAATAATGCATGAGATTTTATTTAGAGATATATCAGTTCCTCTATTAGCAACAACCAATTGTGGGAAAGAACAAACCAGATTTCAGTGGAGGAAGAAATTAGGAAGAAGCGTTGGAAGTGGATAGGACACACATTGAGAAAAGCACCCAACTGAGTAACAAGACAAACCCTCACATGGAATCCTCAAGGCCAAAGGAGGAGAGGAAGACCAAAGAACACATTACACCTGGAAATGGAAATAGAGATGAGAAAAATGAACAAAAATTGGATGGAATTAGAAAGGAAGGCCCTGGACAGAGTGGGTTGGAGAATGCTGGTCGGCGGCCTATGCTCCATTGGGAGTAATAGGCGTAAGTAAGTAATGAAGATCAATAAATCATATTGTCTATTTAGTCAATATATATGCATAAATTACATAACATCAATAAGTATTCATACTAATGTGAGTCAGTTATTATGTTTTAAATAATTATGTAAATTAATAATATATTCCTCTTATATTCGTACATGTTTTCTTCCTATAAGTCAGTGTTTTAAAAATGGAATATTTATTCTAAATTTTTTTTGTTTCTTATCAAGACCACTTAATTGTCCATGTTACAAATGTGAAGACAAGGGTTGGTAAAGCAAGGACAACATTCCTACAGTTAAAGAACATATAGAACTCAAAATAACTGTCAACTACTGTTAAAGTCACAATCTTCAATATGAATGTCAAGACAGTTCTGCTGTATGGAGCTGAAACTTGGAGAACTACCAAAGCCACAATCAAAGATGTACAAGTATTTACAAATAATTGTCTACTCAAGATATTAATTTTTTCTGGAGGTTTTGCGTTCGTTGAACTGGATAGTTTGATTGAGAGTTTCACTCTTTTAGACAATAATTGTTGGCCTGTTTAAAAAATCAGGCCTTTAGTCGATTCCGGAGAAGTTCTAACAGCTTACTTCTTTTTGAAGTGAGTTAAAACTTAGAAACTAATGGTATCATGAAAAACGCTAATAATTTTCATCTGCTTACTAGTGACTAATTTCAAGAGATAATTTTTCAAGTCCTGGTAAGAAGACATGACCAGTAGAGTTTAGCTGTGTTACTCAACGAAGACAATAACTGGACGAAACAAATGTCTAATGCTGCCTAGTTCTCATTATTTGTCTAACTTAGTATTTTAGATGTCACATAATGGACATCATAGTTATTATTTTAATGTGATTACAGACAGAAGGTTGCTTTAACAATACTTGGAATTATTTAAAAAGAAAGTCTACAAAGTCACACCAACACTTCTAATGGATTTTCACAATAATTTTTACCTTTCTCATCCTATGTTAAAATCTGTGAATCAAATTACTTAGTTACTTACGCCTCTTAATCCTTGTGAAGGAGCATTGGTCGCTCACCAGGATTCTCCATCCAACCCTGTCTTGGGCAATCCTTTCCAGCTCCTTACAGTTGTTATTCATTCTTTTCATATCTACTTCTATTTCACGACAAAATGTTTTTTTGGCCATCCACTTCTCCGCCTCCCTTCAGGATTCCAAGTTACGGCTTGCCTCGTGATGCAGTTTGACGATTTGCGTAATGTATGTCCTATCCATTTCCATCGTCTTTTCCTAATTTCTTCTTCAGCTGGAAGCCGGTTTGTTCTCTCTCAAAAAAGGCTGTTGCTGATGGTATCCGGCCAATGGATGTTGAGTATCTTGTGTAGACAACCATCCACAAATACATTAATCGTCTAATTGGTTCTGATCTGTCCATTGTATGCCGTGTTTTCCCCCAGATGTCGAGGTCTTCATAATCAAGTCGACCACCAGAAGAAAGGAAGGGAAAGAGTAGACAGCCTTGTCTGACTCCGGTTCTTACTTTAATGCATCTGTCAGCTGTCATCTATGCAGTACTTTGCACTGTAGTCCGTCGTATGAATTCCGGATAATGTTGACAATCTTCTCAGGAACTCACTACATAGTGTTGAAGAAGTTTCCATGATCTCTCTACACTATCAAACGCCTTTTCATAATGAAGTTGATGTATAGTGACGAGTTCCACTCAACTGATTGTTCAACGATGATCCGTAGTGTTGCAATTTGGTCTGTGCACGACCGATCCTTACGGAATCCATCTTGTTGATCTCGAAGTTGGGCGTCTACTGCGTCTTTCATCCGGTTCAGCAACACTCTGTTAAAGACTTCTCTTGGTACTGACAGTAATGTGATGCCTTTGTAGTTTTCACATTTGCTCAGATCTCCTTTCTTTGGAATCTTGATGAGTTGTTCTTTTCAGTCCGTCGGCACTTGATTCTCCCGCCAAACTTTCTTTAATATAAGGTGAAGCATGTTTGTAGTTACTTCGATGTCTGAATTCAGTGCTTCAGCTGGTATGTTGTCAGGTCCTGTTGCTCTCCCGTTCTTGATTTCTCTGATGTCCATCCTGATTTCTCCGGTCGCTGATGGAGTGACATATACATAAGAAGGTCTGTGTATGCTGGTTCGATGTTCGGTGGATTCATTGGAGCCGACCTCCTCAGGAGTTCTTCAAAGTACTCTACCCATCTGTTCCTCTGTTCTTGAATTCAACTAATTGGTCTGCCTTCTTTATCCTTGACCGGTCTGTCTGGTTTACTATATCTCCCTGCTAGCTTCTTCGTTGTATCGTAGAGCTGTTTCATATTTCCTTCTCTAGCAGCTTTTTCAGCCGTCGTTGCTAGTTATTTCACATATTTCTGCTTGTCAGCTATAATGCTCCTCTTCACTTGCTTGTTTGCTTCCGTGTATCCAGCTTGTGCTTGAATATTCTCTGCTCGTGTTCGGCTGTTGCTAATTGCTGTCTTCTTGTTCTTCCTTTCTTTGATCTTGTCCAGTGTTTCTATAGAACTCCATTCTTTATGATGATGCTTGATGAGGCCAAAAACATCCTGACACGTTGGAGTTAATGCTTCTAGGATACCTTTCCAGTTGTCCTCCATAGTAGTTTCTTCTTCCTTCAGTAGATCCTATAAGGTTCGGAACCTGTTGTTGAGAGTTATTTTGAATTGATTGAGTTTGTTAGTATTTCGAAGGAAGGCTGTATTGAACCTTTGTAATGCTGTTCCCCCAGTTGTCCAGTGTTTCGTTGTCTTCAGTTTTAAACTGGCTACAACTAGGTGGTGATCTGAAGCTGTGCCAGCCCCTCTAATGATTCCACATCTTCCATTGTCCCTTGGAACGTATTGTTGATTCATATATGATCTATCTGGTTCTCCGTAGTGTGGTCCGTTGAGATCCATGTAGCTTTGCTCATACACTTGTGTGGAAATATTGTGAAACACATAACCAATTTGTTGAATGTACATAGATTTGCAAATCTTCCTGCATTTTCGTTTCTCTCTCCTAGTCCATGTCATCCCATAACATCTTCATATCCGGTGTTTTCCATTCCGACTTTGGCGTTTAGATCTCCTATCAGAATGGTGAAGTCCTTTCTTGAGCACTTCACTATGATTGATTGCAGCCTCTCATACAATTGATCTTTAATGTCGTCGTTGCTATCATTGGTGGGTGCATAACACTGGATAACATTCACTGTAATTCCCTCCTTCTTTGTTTTGAATGATGCTTTGATGATTCTGGGTCCGTGAAATTTTCATCCTACAAGTGCCTTTCGTGCTTGTTTGGACAGCATTAGAGCAACTCCCTGAGCGTGTGTGGAACATTTTCCTCTTCGTGATCGGAGTATAGCAGCATCTCTCCCGTATCTATCCTTTGCTGTTCAGCTTGGGTCCGATGGTTTTCGCTTATTCCCAGTACTGCCAATTTGTATCTCTTGATTTCCGTTGCTATTTGACTGGTCTTCCCGGTCTCTCATATTGTTTGGACGTTCTGTGTACCCATAAAAATTGTTGCTCCGGTTGTTAGAAAGGGCGTCGACCTCGTGAATTTCGAAGGAACTTGGCTCTCACCATGAGGCATCATAATTCTTCTAAATGAAGACCTTGTAACTCCCAGAGCAGAGTTTAAATGGTTTGAATTAATTTTTCTGGTTAGCGTTTTTTTAGCGAGTTAGTTTTCTAGGGGATGGGTTCGCTAACCCCATGCCAAACCCACCTCTTTTACCTGGGCTTGGAACTGGCATTAACCCTAGAAGAGCTACAGGTGGAGTTGTGAATCAAATAAAATCTGATAATAAAATGTTAGCTGTTAAGAAACTAATGTATCTTCTCTTTTCATATTTAGTTGTAATAAAAAAATTCTATAGTGTAATGAGATGCAATCCTATATTTTGCGAATTCTCATTTTGAAATTTGGTAAATAAGGAAGGAACGAATCGAGCTA